TGTAAAAACTTAAGTGGTGTGTGTGTATGGGTGCGTGTGTGTGTGTGAGAGAGAGAGAGAGAGAGAGGGAGAATGAGAAGAAACTGCTGAGCTTTTATTATCTAAGTATAGAAAGCAGAAGAGCTATTTGGGGTTTGCCAAGGAGAATGCACTGAGTTGTGGCTAGAGCTCTGAGTGATAACCTTCTCTGAGACTAGGCTCTGATACTAATAGAGCCATAAGAGGAAGCCTGACTCTGTACATCATCAATCCTGGGTGGAATTTGAACCCTGTAATCTACATAGCCTTCCTCCCATTGTGTCTTGAATTATCCATCCACCTGTACCTTCCTTTTGAGATTTATATGTAATCTCAGAAAATCTATGGCAGTTTGGTGCACCAGGGCAGGAGCTGACTGTTCTCAGCCTCCCCAAGAAGTATCTGTCGCTAAATTATTTTCCCCCTACAAACTCCTGTGCTTTGCTTCCTCATAGCATGGAAGTGGCTGTGTGTTTTCAAAGGCTGTGCCACCAGAGAGTAAATTTGGGCAAATTATACTATGCTGGAAAGGCTTCACATACTCTCCCTGCAGTACACTGGGCCTGCCGTCCAAGGTCCTACCTAGCTAAGAAGAGGGGCTTAGCAGTAAGTTGGCTGTGGGTCGGTGGGTCCCGTGGGCACGGCTGCCCTTAAAGCATGGCCCTGAGGCCTCTGGGGCTGCCTTCCACTTCCACAGTGACAGTGGTAGCAAGGGACAGAGGGTGCTACGTCACACGGTTTTTAGACTGTGGCCTCTAAACACTGACTTCACCATAGGTATCTTAATGATCTTAAAGACCTTGGACACACTGTTGGGAAAACAGCTGCTGCATCCCTATTGATATTCTCTGTTAGAGCCAGAAGGAAGTTACAGAGAAGTGGGAGGACACGGTCATGGGTTTTCTTGGGAGAGGCAAAGAAAGGAATTGTTAGAGCTTGTATTGAGGGCACTGACGTATCAAGAAACATTTGATCACCTCCTCTTCATCTGGAGTGTGTGACACCTCCAAGCTCAGGTCCAGCCTCCTTGGGCTCCCAGGCCAGTGCACCTTCCACTTCACAGCCTCCCCGCCTGAAACAAGACTTGTGTGGGCTGTGTGACTTCATCTCTGACAGTGTCTGCTGAGCTCTCTTCTGGCCCTCCTCCACATCACTCACGTTCCAGTCAGTCTTCCTTCCCAGGGTCCTGGTCAGGTTGCTTAGTTTTGTCTCTCAGTTAGATAGGTGAATACATTGGAGAAAGGGCTTTTGCCCAGAGTGTTCTGTCACAGAACTCACAGGGCTCCTAGTACGTCACTGCTTTTCCTGCAGCTCCCTCTGGGATCTCATACCCAATTCTGTCCCTGATCCGAGACAGAGTGGAATGGATGGCTCATGCTTGGCTAAAGCTGTCTGTGTTCCCTGGGTCATCATCCTGTTCTCAACTCTGTTCAACTTTGCCGCCTGCACAGAGGTTTTTAGTTTCTTAATTGACATGTAGTTAGTGGTTGTAACAACAGTGTGGGCCAAGCAAATGACTCCCTAAATTATGCTGTGGTATTAGGCAATGTAGTCTGAGTTGCCATCATAAATGGCCATAGGATTTCATAAAATAAACAAAAGGATAGATTACAAGGAAATAACTTTTGCAGACTCATCAGTTCTGTAAAGTGGGACTTAGGTTCTCACATGCTCCAGTGATTTTAATCACAGAACTGGTGGGGCTGTGGCAGGACCACACCCCTGATAATTTATTGACAGCTGGTTTCCAGTTTGCTCTTAGATATACTGGGAGATGTTTATTTTTTTTTAAATTGCAAGGAAATTCTGGATTTTCCTTGGCTTGATAGCAGTGTTGTCCAGGGACTGATTGACTAATGCTTGCTGAAGTATCTCAGAAACTCCCAGCTCAGACCTAAAAAACCAAAGGACTTGAACGTTATTGTTCAAAAGGCCTCTGGTTTGACATGTGCCATCTTTGCCTTAGGCCACTGAGTTGAAGAGATCTGGTATGATGCAGGGCAAAGGGAGTTTAGGATCAGAAGCTTTGAGAGATGGTGACTGTTGCGGGAAGCAGCCTTGGAATGCCAAAGCACAGGGACATTTAGGAAAGCCATTAGGTTTTTTTAATCCTTTTCATTGCTATCATTCATCCATGACCTTAATGTCCACATACATCCCTCATCCTTCCTCCATCCACCAAGCCATCCCTTGTAACAGATTTCATTAAAGAGAAGGAACAAGGGACATGAACAAAACTGACCACCGCACCAGCTGTTATCTAGTAGTGGATGAAGTATTCCACAACGTGTACTTACTGTCTCTGCAGTGAGGGAAGGAAGGTGCAAGAAAGCAGAATTTTAGAGCTAGAAAGAACATTTAGTCCAAGTCTTTCATTTTACAGATGAGGAAACTGAGGCCCAGAGAATCAAGTACCTTGCCTGTGGTCATAAAGGTAGTAGTAAATGGTAGAGCTAGAGTTTGACATCAGGTCCTTTGGAAGCCCTGGTTCCTCTGCCCAGAGCAGGTGACCCGGGCCAGTATCCATATAGTGACATTCCTCCATCTGGCACCGCTGTGCTCAGGACTCCCTGTTCCGGTACAGCCCTCTCTGACACCTCTGCCCCTGGATGTTTCGTTTTTCACAGAGCATTCTTTCCAGACCTCAACTTTTTATTTAATCTCTCTTTCCTCCCTGTATCATGACTTTTTGTGTGTTTGTGTTCCTCCCCTCCTCCGTTAGGTTGCAAGCTTCTGGGAAGCAGGGTCTCTGTCATCTGTCTTCATAGCCCACAGTACCTTGAACACTGTTCTTGTGTGTTTGTTAAAATGAATTAAATATGGGGTGGTTGCTCTCCATGGTGCCCATCCCACAAAGTCATTGATTATGGATGTGCCCTGACTCTCTTCCGTTTCCTTCATCCTCAACATTTCTGTTAGTACCGGCATTCAGCATGGTAAATGCCATGTAGTGTTCCTTGTTGTAGAAAATAGCCCCACGGAGGTCCTCCAGTGGCTCCTCACGGTACAGGGAACCTGTAGGGTGTCCCACAGAGTGCAGGCACTAGCAGCTACCGCTGCTAAGCTGGGACAGCTTCTCATTTGGGAGCCCAGTGATTGGCTGTGTCTGTCAGGCGAGATTGTGACCAGACTGAGCCTTTCTCAGCCGAAACTACCACAGAGGAACGGAATTGGGTGGAAGAAGTAGTTCACAGTGAAGGAGAAAATTAGGAAAATAGCTCAGTGAATCTGCAGCAGATTCTAAAAACTGTTCAGGTCAGTGGGCTCAGTCCTAGGGCCCTGAAGTAAACAGAGTATCTCAGAGCTGGATACTGTGATTGGTCTATATGAAGCACCAGAAGAGCTGCCTTCAGAGATGGGGAGCTCCTGAATTACACTGCTTTGTTCAAAGACTCCATGGTGAAGCACCCTGGTGCTGATGTCTTGAGTTCCATTTTTTTGCTGAGGCTTGTATATCTGAGGTCCTTTCTAGCTCTTTGGACTTCATTTGGGAGGCAAGGGGAAGTCGTTTGAAGGATTTTGGAGATGGAACACTGAGCACTAAGAAGACCAGCCTGACCCACTGATTGAAACCTTGGTAATCTTTTAGTTCAGCCTCCTCCTTTCATGGAGGAGGAAACAGGCCAAGCAAGGGTAAGGGGTTTAAGTGCCATGCGCCTCTTCATTGGTACATAGTAGCAGAGCCATAATTCAAACCCAGGCCCATTTGTCCCAGCCCTCCAAGGGTTTGCATTTGGGGGTGGGGCTATGGATATGGAGCACAGCATGAACACAGGTAAGTAAAATTTAAAAATACATAAAAATTAATTGGGAAAGTATGGGGAGGCAGCATCTCATGCACGATGTGGTACTTGTGCTGAGCCTTAACAGAGCCTAGAAACTCTGTGAAGCAGCACAGAGCCTGGGAACCTCTGTCGGCTGGGTGGGCTGGTGTGAGAGAGGCAAAGGACCACCACGGCCATCATTCATCAAAGGCTCAGAGTCATGCTCAGGCCATTTGTCTTAGAGGAGACAGGGGAGTAACACAGCCGGGCCTGTAGCCATCAGACATGTTGGAGGGACGATTCCCATTCAGTTGCATAGTGAACTAAATGAAGAATCCGGATCATGTGAGGGTTGGCTGAGAGCGTTTGGATTTAAAGTACCCAGCATTCATTGTACCCCAGTACGAGCGAGATCCTTTGTAGTCAGGCCCAGTGGCTTATGCTGTCCTCTAGGCTGGTCCATTAACTGTGTTCTCTCTGGGGTGAAACCAATCCCTGAAACTAGGCCTGTCCCATGAGCAATTAAAAGCTTTTAAGCCAAGCAATTGATGACTTCTACTGTGGTCTGCAAGTGGTCTGCTCTTGAGATCCCACCTGCCATCAATCTTGTTGGGGGAGGGGGCACAGTGCACCAGAGCAAGCAAGCTGGTTGCTTTTATCTTGCCTGATGCGTGCTTTGCAGTGCTTAAAAGTGGTCACTAAAATGAGACACTTGTCTCTTGGAGACTGTAGATTGACTTCAGGGTCTGAGCCTCCCAACAGCAGCTGAGCTTTTCTCTGGGCAGTGGCAGCCACATTAGATTGCCTTGTGCATTAGCAGCTTGAAGGACAAGGGGTGTGGGGAGTGTATTCATCAGCCGGTTGATTTAGCTATTCAAGCAGGAACCACAAACTGAGACCATGTGAATCTGAATTACCACCTATGGTTGTCCCTGTGACTTGAGCGAGTTGCTTTAAATCTCTATAGGAGCTCACATCTCTCTAGTTAGTGTGTGAAGGTTTACGAGATTCTTTTCCCACGACAACATTATAAAGTAATTAGTGCAAGAAGTATCCCTATTTTACCAAGGAGAAAACTGAGGCAGAAGCCAGCATTTGCCCGTGGTCAGAACAGTCTAACAAGGGTCAGAGTAATGTACACCTGATCTGTCAGCTCCTCATGCACCACTCTTCAGGCTGCTGGAATGCCAGAGTAATTGATTGACTTTCTCCCCTCAGGGTTGAGCACTGAAGGCATCTACAGAGTGAGCGGAAATAAATCTGAGATGGAGAGCCTTCAGAGACAGTTTGATCAAGGTAAGGTTTTATAGATTCAAAGCATTGTAAAACTGGAGATAGCCTAGCTGGGGCCTGAAGCACAAGGGCAGGGCCTAGTGGCCTGGGGCTGGCCCAAGCCTGGCATCTCCCTCCCCTGACCTCAGATTCTCCTACCGAGACAATGGTGAAGTCTGCCCTAGGGTGAAGTGTGCTCTAGCTCCTGGACCAAGGAGGCAACCAAGGTGACGTGCACGGGGGGAACTTGGGACATGAAGGCATATGTTGCCCCCTTGATGTACGTCCTTGAGGACTCTGGCTTGTACCCCCAGACCCAGACAAGCCTACTTTCACCAGGCACGTTAACAGGGCCTGTCTGGTGGTAATGGAGGAGCAGTGATGTGTTCACTGTGTGAACCTTGAGAAGTCTTTAGTGGTTGGACTGAAATCTTTTTTTTTGGGGGGGGGTGCTGGCTAGGCAACAGGGTTAAGTGACTTGCACAGGGTCACACAGCTAGTTAAGTGTCAAGTGTCTGAGGCCAGATTTGAACTCCGGTCCTCTTGACTTCAGGGCCCCAAGCTAGTGTATTTTTTTTTTAAGGCAATTGGGGTTAAGTGACTTGCCCAAGGTCACTCAGAGCTAGTAAGCGTCAAGTGTTTGGTCTGAGGCCAGATTTGAACTCAGGTCATCCTGGTTTCAGGGCCAGTGTTCTATCCACTGTGCCACCTAGGTGCCCCAGTGGGACTGAAATCTTATGGAGGGCCGAGATCTCCTCCAGGTGGAGGTCTCCAGGGTTGTCCAGAAGTTTTGGCCTAGCCCACGTCAAACGAACACGACCAAGACTATCAGAAGCATTGGGTATATCTTAACCTTACCGCGAGGGGAAACTCCTTCGAAGACAACAGAGGCAAGCCCAGGAGCCCCCCGCTGCAGTGTCCAGGCCTTGGAGCCCCGGGAGCAGGCCGTGGGCACCACACACCCCAGAGACATCCACCCTGTCTCTCAGCACTTCTCTCCTCTCCTGTCTCTGGATTCTGAACCTTTGAGATTCGGCTTTCAGAGTTGTCAAGGATTTTCGCTGACCCCCTGAAGCCTTGGCTGCTGCTGACCCGCTCTTCTCTGGCACAGATATTCTCATCTTTGCAGGCTTTGGTTTCACTGCTCTCTGCTGGTTTTCTTCCTACTTGTCCTTTAGGTTCTTTGGCTGGACCTGTATTCAAGTTGCACCCCACTAACCGTGGGCATCCCTCAAGGCTCTCCCTGCATGCTCCCCTGTCCTCCCTCTCTGCTGCCTCATCAGCATCGTTTCTGGGGAGGGAGGTGATTCCCACATCTAAACATCCACCCCAATCTGTCTCTGGCCTTCTGGATTTCTCCAGTTCAACCTGCTCCCCCAACCCTCCCCTCTCCCCACCCTCCCTATTCCCTCCTTCCAGTCCCCCAGCCTCACCACCTCGGGGTCATTCCATGTGTCCAGTCTCTTGTTTCTGTCTTCCCAGCGTCTCTCGATGATGCCCCCTTCCCTCCTTGCAGCAGCTACCGGTGGGTCAGCCAGCCTTAAGTGATCTTCCTAAAGGGGTCCCCCAACTCAGCACACTTCTCTTGTTTGGCCTTCAGAGCCCTTCACGGGCTACTCCTTCCTCCCGTCCAGTCTTCTTCTACTTCATTCCCCATCTTGCTTCACTGACCCTCTCGCTGCTCCTCCCATGTGACCCCCAGGTCCCGACTTTGTTCCTCCTGCTGGCTTCCTCCAAGAGCTAACTGAAACCCCACCTTCTGCAAGAGGCCGTTCATCACCCCCAGCCCCTTTGACATGACTTGGGCAGACAGAGGCACTTTTGTGTTACCTCCTGGAAGGTAGAAGCTGGGTTTTGGTGTTTGTCCTCGTCATCGCTGTCTGGTCATTTGTTGGCCTCTCTTGGTATCCCCAGTGTTTAAAGTCCAGTGCCCAGCCCATCACAATTAATAAACGTTTGTTGTTGACTGACTGGCCGTGGACCAGCATGGTGCCGGGTTCTGGGGATGCAGGTACGCACAGCATGACCGTCCCTGCTTGTGAGGAGCTTCTCTGGCAAGGGGGGTGAGAACACCCCACGTGAGTGTAGACGGAACAAGGGGAGAAGACGTACAGAGAGGCACAGAGTCATCTGGGAAGAGGGCACCAGCAGTTGAGAAAAACAGGAAGGCCTTGTTCGGAAGATGGTGTTTGAGCTGCGTCTTAGAGCAAAGCAGAAGCCCAGGGAGGTGAGGCTGAAGTGCAGGCCAGAGTGACTCGCGTGGTGCGTCCCCCCATGGTCCCTTTCCCTTCTCCCGGGCCGCCCCTCTTGTGGTTTGGCTCGTGTGTTGTCTCCTGTGGTCATGAATGTTCTCCTTCTCCTCCCGGATTATCCTGGCTGTACTCAGCTGTCTCCCTGCCTCAGGCCAGCCCTTGGAGTCCGTCCACACAGCTAGCACAGTGCCTCGCCCTTCATAACTGCCAAGTTGAGGTTCGTGGAAGGAGCTGTCCTTGCCCTGCTGCTGGTCACATTGCTCCTCCCAGCCCGGCACACCTGGCTGCCTTCTTTTGGTCTCCTCTTGTCCACCTCACTACTTTGGCTTGTGCTTCCAGTACCTTCCGTCGCCACCGAGCCTGCTTCCTCTTCTCTCGGGCTCAGCTGCAAGGTCTCCTCTATCCCTGACTCTCTGGGGACCCGTGTGGTCCCAGGGCACAGACAGGATGGGTGGAGTCCTTGTTAACTAGTTGGGGAAAGCTGGGGTCTGAACAGCTGCTGGATGGCACAGATCACACTGTGGCTTCTCCTTCCACCCCCAGAAAAAAACCTCAAAGGCACACTTGTCACAAACATGGGATGACTTGTGACCTGTATGTAACACATAGGCTGTGAGCCATGGGAGTTTTTCCACACTAGTTAACTGACCGCCTTCTCTCTGAGTCACTGACCCACTGACACAAGTCAGGATGGAAGGGGCTCACTTGTAGTGACCTCGGGATGAACTGGGACCCAGGGATGGGAAAAGCCCTTGGGGCCTTGGATCAGAAGACCTGGGTGGAGTTTTAGCAGGATCCGCAGATCTGTCATCCAGAAAACTGGCCTCTTTCTTTGCCCCCCGTATGCCTGCTCTCATCTCTGTGCCTTTGCTCTGAGGATCCCCAGTGGAGCCCTGGGAACGCTCCCCCCTTTCCTTCGAGCCTCCCAGCTGCTAGTGCCCTCCTTCCCACACTGCCTCAGATCGAATAAATGAGCATTTCTGAAGCACCGTGCCAAGGGTGACAGGGCCTGCCCTCAAGGAGCTCGTGTTCTTCTGGCAGAAGAGGAGGTGTCTGCTTCATATCACCTGGGCCCAGTGCCCTGCAGACATGCCGCCTTCCTCATGTTGGTCCACTTGGTGGTGTCGGGGACTTCCTTCCCGGGCGCTGGGCCCTGGGCATTGGGGTTGCTGGTGCTGAGGAAGGCAGGTCCCTTCTCCCTCTGCCGGTAGCAGGAGCCAGGCTAGGGCTGGGGGCTGCTTGGTGCAGAACTCTTGGGTTCAAGGTGCCGAGCTGCCTCAGAAGTGTCAGGGAGAGGGGACACGTGCTGTTTCTCTGAGGATCCTTGTTTTCACTCTTGGAATGTGAGCTCCTCCCAAGTAGAGGCTCTTTCACCCCTGCCCTTGTTTCCCAGAATCTCGCCCTGTGTCTGTCGATACTTGTATAGAGATCAGTGGGTGTACTCTGTCGGGGGTGGGGACGGCTCAGACCAGCTTTGCCTGTGGCCTCATCGTTTAAAGACTAGAGCAGGAGGGGACTTTCCTAGGTGACCGCTGAGTCTGTCCCACTCCTCGCAAGCAGTGTCCTTTTTCCTTTGTTCAGACGACTTGGTACAAGGTTGGTGTTTGCTCATCTGTTGAGTTGGTCCTGCTGTTTCTTTGCAGACCACAACCTAGACCTGGCTGAAAAGGACTTCACCGTGAACACTGTGGCAGGTGCCATGAAGAGCTTCTTTTCCGAGCTGCCGGACCCCCTGGTGCCCTACAGCATGCAGAACGACCTGGTGGAGGCCCACAGTGAGTGCAGATGCTGGGCCCGGCATTGGGTTTTGTGCACTGTGCATCTTGTCACTTCTTAGTTCTGTCACCTGGCAATTCCTCTTCCCATGGTGTCTTTCATTTCCCAGACGCTCAGCGTGCTGCCCTAAGTCTGGCAGAGTCATTTCCTGCTGGCAGAGGCTCAGTCCTCCCTCCTGAGGGGCATACCTTCCCCCCACAGGGTCCTGTTCTTCATGTCCTTCATAGAAGGACAAGGTCATTCCTCACAGGTCAGAAGGCTTTGCCTGGATTCCTGGAACAGATGCCATGAGACTGTGAGTCGGGTGCCTCCACACTTTGATTTCATGTCCCTTCTCTAACCAGGGGCCTGTGCTCCAGGGCTGATGTCTCATGGCCAGCTAATGAGCGCTAAGGTTGTGCTGCAGTCAGAACAGGGCCAGGGAGTCCACAGCAGGGACCATCGCCCGACATTCTCTGTGGGATGAGTGTTAGGTTGGTCCTCATGGTCTCCATCCTCATAAATGTGGATGCTTCCACCATTGAGGTTATTAACAAGCTATCCACACCTGCCCATCCTGGGAAATTCTTACCCACACCCTCCATCAGTTTGTTAGGAGACCAAGAAAAATGTTTGTATTAAACTAACACTACCCAAGCCTTCCAAGCCTGCTCCTAGTTGCTCCCACACTCAGCCCTGCCTCCTCCTTTCTCCTTATTCCCCTCCGTGGCCAAGCTCACGCTCTTCATATTGAGACAACTAGGAACGAGAGAAGGTAGATTCTGCTCAGACTCAGACTGCAAAGGGACTTGGGTGACTGTCTGGCTTCACTCCCTCACTTTGCAGGTGACAGAACTGCCCGACAGGGGCAGCAAGCATGGCGTGGCCACAACTCGGGCCTGGTCACCATACCTAAAAAGGCTTTGGAATCCTAACAGGATTTCCCGGCGTTTGGCACTCGCCAGGGTCACCACAGGAATGAACAATGACACCAGCAAGGCTGTGTTTGGTGTGACCTTGGGGAGAGCCCTAGATTGAGAGAAAACTGAGCCTGTGTGAGGCTGGGCCACTGGAGCAAGGCGCACGACGGCTAAGTATCTTCCTGACTCCCTAATCCAGCCCCTCCATGACATCCAAAGTCTCTTCCCCCTCTGATAGTGTCTGAGAAGAAGCCAGGCTGGAGTACTGAGAGGAGCTAGCGGTCCTAGCATCTGCAGGACCCCAGCTGGGCAGCCTGCCAGTGGGACCACAGTGCTGGGGGTGGGGGGTAGGGGGACACACACTTCATTTTTTCCTCTTCTTAGCCATTTCCTTGACTATTCAGTGGTTTGGGCCACACACCATTATACTGATTCATCCCTGCCCTGAGCACTTCAGTTAGAGTCAAGGTAGAAAAGAGAGGCCTTGGGGCTCTTCCAGCCCATCCCCTGTTTTGCAGATGAGGAAACTGAGGCCCATAGAGGGAGAGGGGCTTTCCCAAGGCAGATGGGTGTGAGCAGCCTGGATTCAGATTCTGGTCTTCTGGGGCTAAGGCCAGTGTTCCTTCCACCACTTGCAGGCTTCGAGCAAGATCCTTCATTAACCTTTCTGGGCATCAGTGAGGTTAAAGGGCAGAGGAATTAATGGGGATGTTTGGACAGCGTGGAGAAGGGGAATCTGGAGGTGCTGTGAGGTCGGGGTGCTACCGCTTCTCTGTGTGCCTCACTCCCCTAAGCACATTTGTGTTGACCTCAGCTCCAGCGCTTCCAGATGGATCTGCACTGAGGTCGTGTCTGCAAGGGGCACACCATTATTTCTTTAAGGGAACTTAAAGCCGTTTAAAAATGAAGGCCACACACAGGAATGCTCCAAGTTCATCTTAGGTTTGCAGGAGCAGCTAGGATTTCTGGGATTTTACAAGGGGCTGTCTTTGGGTGGTTATCTTCCCTTTTCAGAAGAGAAGAGGGGGCTTCCACAGCCGGTGACTATTTCTCTTACTCCACGGCCAGGGTTAGCCTCTTTCTCATCGAGAGAGAAAGGCAGTTAGTGATTCACTTTTAGTAAGGCATAGATTTTGAATTTTTCTACTTGATTTGTCTTTTTCAAAAGGCAATTTCATTATATCCTGCTCAGAAGTTAATCAACAAACATCTATGTAGCACTTACTACATGCCAGGCTAAATGCTGGGGATAACAAGAAAGGGAAAAAATGCAGCTTGTGCCTTCAGGTAACTCTGAGGCTGATGTGGAGACAACAGAGGTGACTGTACGTGGAGCACCGCTGCGGGGGCTCAGAAGGCAGTCTATGTTGTCTGCCAAGCACAAAGAGTTGAGCTCAGATTTGTGAGCCCAGCCTGGCTTTCCCAGCATCCTCTCCCAACACTCGTACTCCATCCACACAGGTAGACTTTGTCCTCCATGGTGGGTGAAAGATGAAAAGACTGAGGAAGCAAAAATTTGAGCTTCTGAGCCTTTCAATTTATTAGGTAATGCATGCCAGTTGCCTAAGAAACCAGGACCAGGCCCCTTCCTCAGCTTAGGGCTGGACCCCGAATATAGGGGCAGACAGACTTTTATACATTAAAAAATTTAATCAAATAAGACCAATTAATTAAAAGAAAACAGTTAACCACGATACAAAATTAGGTAATCTGATTTCTGATTGGAGGAGAGATTGGGGAGAGGGGGAGAAGGAATAGATACGATTCCCTGAATTCAGAAAACAAGGGGTCACACTCTCCCCCAAGTGTCCATGAACAGTCAAAGGAACATGGAAACAATAACTGATTGACCAGCGTGGGATCAGTTTTCAGATAAGACATATGGATTACTTGAGATGTACAATTGTGAGAAAACTCCTTGCATCAGTCTTTGGGTCTGACCAGGTTTCTGGTCAGCATAACTGAGGTCCTTAGTGAAGGGCCTCTGAGCAGCAGGAAGAGGGGGTCTGGCTTCCCAGCCATGCAGGGTGGGTTTTCTCCCAACTCCCACAGTCAAATAGAAGTTTTCTCATGGGACAGAAACTGGACTACAGACCCATCATTGAATAGAAAGGGTACCGAGCTGGAGTCATGACATGGACTCAGTGGGGTTCACTGAATTCCCACAGTTCACCACTTGTCCTCATCCCCTCAGTTTACTCACCCCTGAACACATTTCCCAAATCATTCCTTCACTCACAGTGTTTCCTGCCCTTGGATTTTTGTGCACTTGAGAAACATGTTTTGACTGACAAATCCCATCTTTGCATGAAGTGATGTCTCTTCTAAAGGAACAGTTCTTCTCTTTTCCTGCAACCCTCCATTTTACAGAGGAGAAAACTGAGGCTCATAAAGGTTAGCTGTTTGACTGAAGGCGTGGCTTAGACTCGGCACAGCAGGGCCACTAGGATGGGAAAGGAAAGTAGGGATGCTTCCCTAGGTGAAAAGGTTTGGTGGGAAAGGGGTGGGGGAGCTAGTGAGTTCTCCTTCCCACCATGAGAGGACTGTGCGCACCACCAGGAAGCTGGAGGAAGGGTCTTGCTTGCATCTGGGCTGAGCTGGAGCACTTCTGGGGCCCTTCCAATTTCTGAGTCTCCCCACCTGTAGTCAGTGTATCCTGCCAGCTCCTAACTCTTCTCTTCCTGACAGCTGAGGAGGCATAAAACCAAATTGAGTAACTGCTCAGTTTAGTCCTCCTTTCTCTCTGCTCCCTTCCCGTGGACACCCTGTCCAGTATCCAGAGAAGTTTGGGATCCTGGGTGTTGAGCCGGGCTCAGAGAACATCACATGTTCTGATAACACAGCCTGCTTTTCATGGATGTTAGCTGAGTGTGGGAATAAGAGTGATTTTTAGAACTGAAAAGGTGACTTTAAACCAGCACCAGGTCTGGAAAGGACCTTATCTTATCGATTTTCAGGGTTAGAATGTCAGAGCTGGATGGGGCTGTATGCCATCAAATCTGAGGGATGGAAGGGGCCTTAGAGATAGTGGCAGAGCTGAAAGGGGTGCTAGAAAAATAGATTTGGCAATGGAATGGAACAGCCAGTCCAGCCGCCTCACTTTCAGAATGAGCGGATTCAGCCCCAAATGTGCCTCGCCCAAAGTCCTACAGCACGGCCGTGGGTGCTCTGGCCCCGCCTCAGTGCCTGTCACAGCACACTGTACTGCTTCATTAACTCTTCTTCCCTTGTTAAAAAATGATTGGATTACCCAAAAAGCCAAAATCAAAATGGATAGAGAAGAGAAGCTAGTGGCCTGGATGAGATACAAAATGATCTTAAGGCTGGATATTTGAGAAGGGCCCAGGGGTTGTCTGAACAAGCCCAGCCCCACTGTCCTTTCTCAGCCTGGCTAGCCCTCATGCTCCAGGAGAGTGAATGGAAAGGGCCTGACTTTGTAATGTGCTCTCTAGGAACTCATCAGCCTCCCTGCTAGGGAACTCTGTGTCCGTTCCATGTTTCTCACTCACAGTCCTCCAGAATCCCTAATCCTGTCCTGTGGAGATTGTGCTCGTGTGTGGACCAGAATTTCCTCATCTAGTTCCAAAGACAGTGTATCTCTGCCTTGGGATGCATGTCTCCAAGGGCAGTGTGATGACCAAAGAAAGGTTTTCTTTGTAGTAGAGCTCCTGAATCATTCCTTATTGTACAGCCCCAGCAGCGGACAGTGCTGGCTTTCACAGTGCTCTCAGGCACGGGTGGGGCTCTTAACCCAAAGGTGAAACCAGCCCCTGTATCCATCACCTGATGAGGTGGGAGAGCCTTTGCCTATCGGAGAGCAGAAAAACCAGCATCTGGTATTCTTTCTAAAAAAGCCTAGCAAAGCCCCATCTACACGTCTGCTGACTGCCCTCTCGGTGCAGAGGAGGGCTCTGCCGACCTCTGCCGTTCATACCGTTTCTTCACCTTGGTTCCTTTTGCTTTGGCAGAAATCAATGACCGGGAACAGAAGTTACACGCTCTGAAGGAGGTACTAAAGAAATTCCCCAAGGAGAACCACGAAGTCTTCAAATACGTCATCTCTCACCTGAACAAGTACGTTGATGGTCCTTCCCCACTCAAGAGTATTTTGTACAGAGCTTTACTTCTATAGTTCTTGAAAAATATTTCAGTCAGGCCTCCGCCTCAGTGCTTGTCAGCACACCGTACTGCTTTGTTAACTCTTCTTCCTTGGACCTTGGAATGGAGGGGTTTTCTGATTCCACAAAATGCTTCCCTTGTATATACCCAGTGAGGTAGGTATTAGAAATGTCATTTTCTAGATTTTGTGGAAGAAAACACCGAGGCGCAAAGGTAGAGCGACTCTCCTTGATCACAGAGAGCAAGGGTGGGCCTAGGACCCAGCCCTGGGGTTCCTGGCCTCTGAGCCCAGCACACTTTGTGTTACATGATGCCAGCTGGCTCCCAGGCAATTTGGGTTTATCAGAAGAAGAATTCTAATCCCAGGCTGGGGGTGAAGGTGTGCTCTGTGTCTCAGTGGTCCAGAGCTGACTTTGCCCCAGCGTTGAGAGACTTGCCCACCTCCGTGATTCAGAATGGGGCTCGCCCGTGGTGAGGCTTTCCAGGTCCAGCTGGCTTCTTCTGATTGATGTCGATCCTGGCCTGCACACCTGAGTGGACAGGAGTCCAGCTGTCCACCAAAGTGCAGGTAGGTTACAGGCTCGCCCTCAGCGGTATGCGCAGATCCCCCTTGCCTGAAGGTTTGAAAATGGTACCCTGGATGTTGTAGAGGGGATTCCAGTGTAGGGACGTGTCTCCGAGTTAGAAGGGACTCTCTCCTGACGAGGAATCCTTTCCATAACCCACCCAACAAGTGATGGGTCATGGGTGGCTTGAACACACCTCCAGATGGAGAACTTTCTATGCCCCTTTGGATGGCTTCTCCACAAAAACTCACCCGTTATTCTCTAGGGCCAAGCAGGCCCAGTCTTCCGATCCTTAAACCTGACCTGAGCGCCTTGATTCTCTTTAGGCTAAACATGCTCAGTTTTTTCCAAACATTCGGCATGCGGCATTCTCTGAAGGACCTCGGCCGTTCTCTTGACTGACCTCTGGATGCTCAGCAGAGTCCCAGTAACCTTCCTGAAACAGGCAGAGAACTGAGTGTGCTTCTCCACATCTGTGGTCTCGCCAGGGCACGGGACAGCAGTGCGGTAATGGCCCCAGCCTGAACACTTGATGTCTCAGTACAGCCAGAGAGCCTGTCCACTGGCGGCTGAGTTGTTCCTGCTGCCTCCCTGAGCTTGTAGACCACTCAGACCTCCACATCTTTTCAAACACCTGTCTAGCCATCATTCCTGCCACCGGCTTCCTATAAAGTTGATTTTTTTAATCCGGGTAGAGGAAGACTTTACGTTTATATCTGTTAGATTTCATCACCTTCAATTTGGCCTAATGTGGCTTGGAGATCTTGGCCTGTCCCCCTGGCTTTGTGTCATGCATATTTAATAGCCATGTCATCTGTGTTTTCATCTGAGTCATTGGGGATATTAAACAGAATAGTGCCAGACAGGATGTTAGAAGCACCGAGAAGTTCTCTTTGGTCCAACCAGTCAGCGAGTACTGACTCTCCCTAGCTGAAGCTTACTGTCACCTTGTCCAGAAGGTTCCCAGGAGAGGTTCTGTCCAGTGCTCTCCTCAGGTTAGATCTGTAGGAATTAGCTTAGCCTAGTGTGGCCTGGGCTTGACGAAGCAGTGCTGGCTTGGAGTGACCTCCGCTCCCTTTTCTAGTCAGGACCTTCCTTTTGTTATGGGCCTCGTCCTGAGCAGCTGGACACTTTGGGTGTCTTTGCTTCCATGGGGTTGTCTAGTCTCTGTCATCTGGAAGTCGGTCAGTGAGCTCCCTATCTTAAGAATCATTCCACTGTCTTTGGAGTCTCATTGTGAGAGCTTTCCATTCCTCCTTGGTTGACTTCTCTGGTATTTAGGTCATGGGATCCTAGTGGTCCTTTCTCTTATTTCAGGGCTGGAGCCACGTATGGCCCTCTAGGTCCTCAGGTGCAGCCCTTTAATAAAAGGGTTTGTTCTGTAAACGTTGGACTCGGTCAAGAGGCCGCACCCTGGGAAAGGACTTATCCCTTTGAAATCCCATTCCTAAAATTTAGGGTGCAACTCAGTCTTTGGCCAGCTTTCATCTCCTTCTCCCTCACAGACTGATTGCTCCTCCCCCCACCCGTCATTCCTTCTTGTTCTTGAGAATGGGGTCCAAAGTGCTCGTTGCCCTTGCCGGTGCTCCTGCAGGATCGCGTGACCACCGTGCCTGCCCGTGGGCCCCCTGTGCTCTCCCAGCGCAGAGGTCGTGTCCTGCTCCTGCTTGTGTGCCTCTTCCCATCCCCCTGGGGTCTCTGGACCGAGAGGCTCCTTTCTCCCGCCCCACAAGGATACTAGCCTTCTTTGCGTGGGGTCTCTCTGCGATTTCGTGGATGGCCGGCTGGGGTTCTGGGCTCTTTCTGTGGTGGCCGCCTTGGAGTGGCTTGTGCTTGACCCTTCCTCTCGCTTTTCAGTTTAGTCAGCTGCCTGTTAGTCTTTGTAAGGCCTGCTTACCCGTCATTCTTGTGTCTCAGGCCACAGTCCATGAAGACAGGGACTTCTGGAGATACTGACTTCTGTAAGTTAGCCATTTACTAGGTGGAGCAGTGAACAGAGCCCCTGGACCAGGAGTCAGGATGACCCAAATTCAAATCCAGTCACCTTACCTCTGTCTGCCTTAGTTTTCTCATCTGTAAAAAAGGGATGACGACAGCAGCCACGCCTCGGGGCTGTCACGCGGCTCAGATGAGATGCTCGTTGCGAAGCTGAATCACTCTGTGATCTTCGCCAGTCCTGAATCTGCCTTTTCTTCCTGCAGCCCTCGCCTTCAGCCAGCAGCAGTTGGCTGAAAACACCAGGCAGGGTTTCCAGTCTGTTGTCCAGGATTTCCTAATTCTTTATAGTGCTTTCTGGGTCCGTTCTGAACGAGGGGAAAGGGAACGTGAATGTATTAAGTGCCTCCTCTGTAGCAGGCTAAGTTTACCACGCTGAAGTCTTTACAGCTATCATGTCATTAGATCCTTACAGCCAGCCACCCTGGGAGGTAGGTGCTCTTGTGATCCCCAGTTCATAGTTGAAGAAATTGAGGCAGACAGGGGTAAGTGACTTGCCCAAGGTCACCTAGCTAGTAAGTGTCTGAGGTTGGATTTGAACTCATGTCTTCCTACCCGTGTGAATCACCGAAAGTATTTCTAGTACCTGTCCAGTTTGACAGTTTTGAGGTGCTCTCTTTTTACCTCTTGGATACAACCTCTTCCAGGAGGCCGGCACATTCTCTTGCTATTGTCACCACCATTCACCATTCACCAGTCCAGACTCCAAGTCTGCTTCCCAGGACACTGAAGATCTGTCAACACCCTTTGGGGTTCCTTGGCTCCCTTCTCAGGACAACAGCAGAGTTCAGAACTGCTTGGAGCTGGGGAGACTTAGCGCCAGAGCCAGGAGAGCAGGGGTGGCAGCATCACGCGAGTTAGAGGCAGTGGGAGTGTTATTCTCCCCATTTTATAGATGAAGAAACCGAGCTTTAGAGTTTAAATGACCTTTCTGTCCGTGATCAGCCAGCCAGACCCAAACCCGGGGCTTCTCTGCCCCCTGTCCTCTTCCTCCGGTCCTCACGTTCCCAGGCAGGTGTGACAATGAGAGGGATTGGGACCAGCTATGCCCAATTCATCTGAATGAAGGAATCCTTCCAAGTGAGACCCATCAGATGCTGTGGGGGAGGGGCAAAACGTGGCATCCCACTGGGGATTTATTGCCTCCTCCATGGACCGTGGGGTGTCTCTGAATGGCCCGTCCGTCAGTCCCCTCAATGTGGACCAGTATCTACTCTACACTGTCCCTTGAGGCCGCTGTCTTTGCAGCTGGGCCTCATCTTTTCCCACCCCTGTGGACTGAACCTTCCAGGTCATAGAGAGAGATAGGAGAGCCAACAGAAAGGCTTCACCAACAGGGCACCAGCCCTGTGTGGCCAAGCACTCTAGGTTTCTGACGGGCTAAGCCTGTGACCTGAGGAGGGCTGGGGCAGCTCCCTTTCCTGCCACTAAAACCCACCCAGTCTAGGTGCATGGCTGCCCCCTGCCCTTCCTCCACATGCCTAAGCTTTAAGTAACTTTGTAGGGCAGGAGGGGGAGAAAGATTACCTTGAAGAAAGTTCTATAATTAAGGGGGTTATAAAGCCTAAGAGTTTTATCTGGAGATCCTCGAATTTGGAGCCTCGAGGAAGGATCTTAGCGGTCATCATGCCCGGCCTCCCCTTCTTATGACCAAGATGGCCAATACCCAGAGAGGCCAAGGTTTGCCCAGCATTACGCCGTTGGTATGTAACAGAGCCACCAAGGCTAGTGTGCTTTCCCTTAAGTTGTACCGCTGCCCACAGGCTCCCAAATGCCCTGGACTAAGCCGTCCCCTCCAGAAAGGTGATCGGCACCCCTCCACGTGCCACCTATCTGTGGCAGCAGTCACCTGCATTTATATCGCATTTCAAAGGTTGCCACGTCAGTCTGCAGGATCAGAACACAAGCCCATGCCACTTACTGAGTTCAGCCACACCGTTCTAGGCCTTCCCTCACACAACCCTGTCTGAGGAGGCTCTGCCTTGGGACTCCAGGTGCTAAGGCCCGATCCCAGCTCTGCCATTTAAACGAGGTTCACTGGGACTCTGATTGCCCCGGCCCCCTCGGTTTCCTCACCCATCAGATGACTGTGTTGGAGTAGATCTCTGTTTTCATGGGGCCAACTTGAAGCCCCTTGATCCCCACGGGCCATCCTGGCATAGTCTCTCCCTCCTCTTCAGTGATACTTCCCTGCCCCAAACCCAGTAATACTTGGGTTCACGTCTGTGTCCAGCTCTAAAGGCTACAGAGCGCTCTTCTCACAGCTCTGTGAAGGAAGGAGGCAGACGAGGAAACTGAGGGCCGGTCCAGTGGAGGCCTCCCTGGAGAGAGGAAGCCCCTCGGTGACATGGCCGGGGTTAGCGTCCAGCCTGGAAGTCCCTCCCACCTGGGGTCAGGGCTTCCTCCAGCTCATCAGGCTGCCTCCCTGACATGGGACGGGCACCTTTCAGGACTGACGATACAGTGAGGTCTGGGTTTCCTCAGGGATAAGGAGTGGTTCTTTTAGAAGTACTGACCACAGCTTTGTATCCTTTGCAGGGTCAGTCACAACAACAAGGTGAATCTCATGACAAGTGAAAACTTGTCCATCTGCTTCTGGCCCACCTTGATGAGACCGGACTTTAGCACCATGGACGCCCTCACAGCCACACGGACCTATCAGACAATCATTGAACTCTTCATCCAGCAGTGCCCCTTCTTTTTCTACAATCGGCCTATTGGCGAGCCTGCCGGGGCCACACCCAGCTCCCCCTCCTCAGTTGCTCCCACCATCCCCTTCCTCACATCCACACCCATCATGAGCCAGCCATCCCCTCCCCAGTCACCTCCTCCCACACCCCAGTCCCCACTGCAGCCGCCACTCCCACCCCAGCTTCAGGCGGAGCACACTCTGTGAAGAGCTGGCTGCCAGGGGACAGCAGATCTGGGCTTCTCTCTGGGGTGAAGGAGAGTTGGGCAGCGGAGCAAATCCAAGGCCCAGCCTCCAGGGAGGATGGGGCGATTTCTCTCCTCTCCCCGTCTTGCCGACCTCGGCTGGGATGGCAGTGTGCTGGTCAGGAGCCAGTCGAGACACCTGTGCGGGAGGCTGGACTGACCTTTGTCACCATGCTTGACACCCTTTCTTTGGCTCAGAGGGAACCCCCAACAGTGGACAGTTTTGATCAGCTGTCTGCAGGCCAGTTCCTGGGGTGCTCAGCCTGACCACTTGTACAGAACTGTCTGGGCTTGTCCCTGGGCAAAGCCTGAGACCCCTGAGAACAACTTCCTTCACACCCTTTTTTTCTCCCCCCAACCCCACGTTCATAAACCCCACCGTAAGTAAGTGTGGTCTTGCTGGAATCCCCGGGTTCTGACGGCAGGAGCTTGGCCAATCTGGACAATGGGCAGGAATCTTTGTGCCTGGGCAGAGAGAAAAGGCCACACGGATTTTTCTGACTTCACTGGTTCCCTCGTCTGTTGGCAGTACCTGCCTTCAGAACAAAGAACACTGGAAAAAAATTTTTAAGAACACCTGGGAAAAAAAAGAAAAGAAAGAGACCTCAACTTTTAGCTCTCCCAGGAGGCAAACAGGTGCACACTGGCAGAAGCAGGCCTGGAGTTGAGGGGCGGTTCCCTAGGAGCATGGAGACTACGGGGGCTGCGTCCTTGGGCCCCATGGCCCTGCCACCCTTTCCTGAGGACATCTCAGCAGCTAGCACTTAGCAGGAAGAGTCGAGGAGCCCTGCCGGGCCTGAGCTAGACTTGTGCTTCCCTTTCCCTTGGGAGCATCGCACGTGGTTCCTGAGACACAGCACGTGTGTGTGTGTGTGTGTGTGTGTGAGAGAGCGTGTGCGCGTGTGTGGGTGTCCAGGGGAGGAGCCCCAGGCACACTTTGGTTGGGTTTTATGGTTTTTTTGGTGGAAAGGTTTTCTTTGCAGGTGCTGGGTCAGTGCCCCAGTGGCCAAGACCCCAGTCTGGAGGGAGGCAGGGAACAGTCCACGTGGGCAGTGAGGCTTCTCTGACTTTGTATCCCAGGACTAGTCCTTTGGACATCACAGACACTACACTAGAGATGGGCTGCTTTTAGCTTGACTCCTGGAGTGTGGGGGTTTCCACTCCCCACCCATTTCCCTGGAAGGTAGCACCAAGGTACCACACTACCCCATCTGGCTGCTGCTTCCTGCACCATCCTCAACACTGATGGCTCTGGTGCCAGCCAGGGGACCTGGACTCCCAAGCCTGCTGTGGGAAGAGTCTTGGTCCAGCAAACCAGTCCAGGGGTCAGGATCACGTAGCACACCTACCTTCCTCTTGAGCCTGTGCGGCCTTCCAGGATGCCTTGAGTACGCTAGCCTGCCCCTAGCCTCTCCCTAAGCCCCTTCTGGAAAGTAGAAGGATGGATGCCTGTTACAACCACCCCCCCACCCCCCACCCCCAGCTCCACAGCCCTGCTAGGCTGCTATGTGTATCCATCTGCCCCATCCTGCTGTCTTTGGATCTGGTTCCCCACGGTCCCTGCAGCTGGCCTCTGGCCTCCCTCTTTCCCCAGCAGCGTCAATGTGAACTGGGCAGTCTGGTACTGGCGAGGGGCAGAGCGGGGAAGGGACAGCCGCCCAGTCCTCGTGTTCCTCTTTGCACTTTACGAAGCCAGGCTCTGTGGAGCCTCTTGAGCAGGGTGGGGGGACAGGTAGAGGGGACTTCCTCCCACATGAATTCATCCCCTGGGTAAGCTGGAGTCTTCATAAATTGACGTTTATTGATCAGCAAGCTGTATTAACATCCACCTGTGGCACAAGGTGCTTGGAAGAAGCATTTCCTCGAGTTCTGTAGCCTTATTTCTTAAGAGAATGGATGTATCAGACGTGCACGTGCATTCCTGTCAGTAGTGGAGGGCGGTTTTGTCTTCTGGGAAGAACCTCAGCCTATCTGTTCCCTTGCCCCTGCAGTGCCCTGAAGGCACTCTGCTGCGCAGCAGGCGAAGGGCCCTGCTTTCACTCATCCCCTGCCCCTTTTCTGTGCCACTGTCCTGTGTTATCTCTGTGCCTTCATCCACTGCTCCTGCAAAACCGAAGGTCACTGCAATGGGCCAGCTTCTCTGGGCTTTGAGGAGGTGTAGCCCTCCGGGAGAGGGTGGATGAGGAGGGGGTTGCAACCACCAGGAAGAGACAGGGGCCTTTCCCTCCCCTCCCAGGGTGTTTCTGCCTGAGTCGGGGCAGAATTGTGGTTTTCTCCTTCCCTCCTGCTAACCTCCAGCCCCATCCAGTTCACATTGTACCATCCGTCCCAAGAGGGCAAGACTGCCCACCTGAGATGTGCCACCAGTCAATCTCAGGGTTTTGCAGATGCATATTTCCATTGGTGCCACCTAACCTTCCAAAGATAGGTGGCCTTGGGAGGTGAGGTAAGACCGGTCATCATGTGTCTCCATCCCAGTCGTCCTTCCTCATTCAGACAAATAGAGCCATGCTCTTTGATCTGACTTGAGGAGGGTTCGTTCCCCTCCCCTCTGAAGTGAGGGCAGAGAAGGGAAGGCTGGACAGCCTGCCCCCAGAGCCTCGAGCAGTATCCCCTTCCCTCTGACTCTGTGTGTGGGCATCAGCCTCCTTTGGGAAAGAATCCAAACAAAACTGACCCAAGTGGACCTGGGACTGGATCTTCTCAGAACTAAAACCATTTGCCCCAACACAAGAGAGTGGCTTTGGAGAGCTGCAGGAAGACAAGCTGGTGCCTAGGTTTTCCCCTAGACAGATAGCAGCGAGTGTTTTTTTGTTTCCCTCATCCTCAGAGAAGGACCCTGGCAACCAAGGCCCTAGGGTGGCCTGCCACCAGGGAAGATGGAGGATTAGGGGCCAGCTCCTGGTTACTAGTGACAAGGCCTCCCATCTGGCCAGGGACGTTGCCCACACCTCTGGACTTAGTGTGGTTTGTAGTCCTCCTGGCTCTGCTTGCTATGCCCAACCCTCCCAGTGGTCAGGGCAGACCATGCCAAGCATAATTGCCCCAATTTTACACATACGGAAATAAGCCTTGGAGAAGTCAAGGGACTCTCCCAAGGTCCGACAACTTCCTGGTGGTAGACCCAGGGCTAGAACACTGGTCTGACTCAAGTCAGTGCTTTTTTCACTACCTAGAATCATAGACTATTAGAGCTGGAAGGTACCTTGGAGACTGTCTAGTCCAACTCTGCTTTTACAAATAGGGAAACTGAGGCTCAGTGAGGCTACAGGGCTTGCCCAAGTCATGCATGTGTGGCATCTAACATCCAGCGGTGGATTCAGTGACCCAGGAAGGACCCATGATGACCCAACCCCAACCCCTATATACACACCTTCTGTTCCCTGTGGGAGTTTGACTTGGGCGACTTAATGGTCACTTTGCTCTTAACACATGTTGGCATGGTTCTTGTTAGCTAACTAAATGGTTTGTACGCTTTTCCCTTCCCTCAGATTTTGGGCTGTGTCATCCAGGCCCTTGCTGCCTGTCTCCAGAGTTCCCAAGCCCCCTGTCTTTAGTGGAGGCCAAAGTGCAGATGATTTCGTTCTTGGAGGGCAGGCTGTGGGATCGTGAGCTAGAAGGCACCTTTGAGGCCGTTTAGCCCAAACTCCTCACTGTCCGTAAGGATTCTAGGGCCAGGGGTCTCTTCATCAGCATTTGCAAGCTTTTCATTGCTCTTATGTTCTTTAAGCAGAGATGGGCACTTCCCGAAATGTAATTCCAGAATCCTCTTCAAAATCATGTCCAGAAAGATTGCCTTTTGAATCACTTAGTGGAAAAAGGAGGGAGGAGATAGATGGTGTTCTGCCTCTTGGTGGTTGAGGGTCTTCCCTTCTGGTGCCTCTTACCATTATTTTCTCGAGCTGAAGCCATCTTTTCTTTGTCCCCATCCCCCTTTTTAGTCACATCCGTGCTGCCTGTAACCCAAAGGTCCCAGGTGTGATCACTGCCCCCGTTGCCACTCCTTTCCCCTCATATTGGGCAAAGATGTTTCCCATTCAATGTAGTCAAGACGGCCTAAGTTATTGTTTTCCGTAAAGAAAAGAAAATCTTCAAACTTCCCTGTGTACATTTTAAAAAAAATCTGTCTCAAGATTGTATGGGAATAAAACTTGTTTGAACCTTTGGAATAGTGCTGCCACCGACTTATTTTTCTGGTGCTGGTATTTTTCACATGTTAAATGATCTTTATATGTGTCCAGTTAACACATTTTGAGTTTTCACAAGAAAACACAAGCATACTGAATGGTATTAAAATGTGTTAGTTCAGGTGTGTGCCCAGAATTCAGTGTCTCAGCAAACCTGGAGAACTGTATATAAAGAAAAGTATCCCGGTTATTTCTTTGTGTTGTTAGGGATGTTACCCAGTCCAGCCCTTAGTTAGTGGTGTTAGGAATGTTTGCTGCTCCCTACCCCAAAGAAATTTTTTACATCATGTTTTTTTCAGACCTAAAAAGCAACTAGTGCATGGTCAGCTATAAATGCTCTGCGACTGAGACATCTCCAGCTGAGGGAATTTTTTTTTCCAGTTTTGGTTTTTTTGTTTTGTTTTGAAATCATGTATTTGCTACAAAGTATTGTACTTGTCTCAATGGGAATGGTGTAAAAACTGAACAGGTCTTATGTGACATGTATCATAGTTAATAAATGAATCTTGTAAAAAATTAAACCAGAAAAAAAAGTTGCAAGCTGCCTGGGGGTGCCGGCTACCCCACCCAGAAGCCCAATTAACGCAGGACCTTTCTATTTGGGGTCCAGGAATTCTCACTGTCGCTCAATTTCAGGTGACAGCAGGGGTGGGGTTTGAGTTCTGTGGGTCTGTACTAGTACACCTTTGGAAAGACTCCATCCTCTGTACTGTTTTGAGATGTACCTGTGGTACCAAGAGCCCTGGGCCAGTCCCAGGTAGAGAAGACGGAGAGATGTATCCTTTATGTGCCTGAGAGGGAACTCGTAAATGGGTACATTTGCACCATGGTGCTGCCTGGGGCGTAGAGAGACATCTTTTTGCCTGGACACCGATGCAAAGGTCCAGGATGCTGAGCTCATCATTGACTTAGAGGGTTTGTGTGCCTGCTAGGTGCCAAACACTACTTAGCACCGGGGATACAAAGAATGGGCCAAAAAAAAGGGTCTCTGCTTTCCAGGGGCTCATGGTCTAATGGAGAAGACATGTAAACCATGTACAGACAAGATATATGCAGGATAAACTGGAAATAAAGTCAAGATGAGTCAGAGAAATGTTGCTACCTATTCAAACAGTGCTCTGAAGACTC